TGTGGCTGCTTCGACAAAGGTGCAGCCAGCGGCAGCAGCGGACCCAAGAGCAAGCACCAGATAACATATCAACCGTACAGGATGCCTGAGTTCAAGCCGCATGATAAGAAAAACATGGACTTAAACAGACCTATGTCCCCTCATCTACTTATTTATGCGCCTACTGAACCAGCCATGACTTCCATTGTGGAGAGGATTACAGGTTTAATTCTGTGCACGTATTATATCAAAACAAAATTAAATACTGTCTGTAGTTTCCGCGAGTAGTACACATTTGAATAATACTTTAAACGGTTTATATCGCGATATATATTAGTTAAACTTTTTTAAAAATTATTATAACTAGGGCCCGACGTTTCGGATGCTTTGCAGCAGCCCCGTGGTCATGGACTTATGTATCGCGTTTTAATGTGTTAACGTTTTTGCTTAAAACAAAATGTCCTACATGGATAGATCTTGAATTTTGGCTTTATTGATGTTGGTTTAATTTTTTTTCCGTTAAAATAGGACTCGATTACTAAACAATGACGTCAGAAAACAGAAAACCTTATTTTTATTAATATAGCCCTTTCTAAGTATTTAGACTTTTTGCATATTTATGGATTTTTTTTAATTATGTCCAGAATCGATGAAGTGATCTAAAGAATTAAAATATATGGCTAATAATCAACCGGATCCGATATGTTTCTAAGATGTATGATATATTATATATATGATATATTTCGATGCTATAGTCTGGGGTGTATCACCTACGATCAAGTAAGCCAAGCTTGGTGTTCCCAGCTATCATATAAAAACAACGAATACACTATACCACGGTACGATTTGTTTCCTTTACTGTATAATATAAACCTGGTTTTTGTGTACGTTAGTCGACTGCACAAGCTACCTACCCGACCTATACCTAGCTCGTATTTATAAAGGTGTTAATTTTCATGTAAAATACTAAATATTATTTCAATCTTTTATACTACTTTATAGTCATACCTTTGTAACGCGTGACACTTCAGTTAGCGTAGCGTAGCCTCGGATTTTGTACGTAATTATTTTTTGATATTAAAGGTTTTCAAACCGCAATTAAATAAAACTTACTTTACTCTTAGAAAATATTCTATGGTTTGATGGTACTTCTCATTAAATGTGAATATTAAATAAGACCTGAAGGTATAAAACGCGAAGTATATTATACTATTTTGAGTACGGATAGACTTTTTAGATGCAGGCCGCGGTGGCATGAACTGTTAAAAATATTTTAAGCCCGCTTAAACCACAGACAATCCTGAATATTATTTATTTTCTTGTTATATCTTATTTATGATAAAAAAGTTGGCTGGTTTACTTCATTTGAATAAAACAGTTTAAGGGTTTAAAACGCGATGTATCAGTTAAACTTATTTGAAAAATGATTTTTAACTTCGGCCCGACGTTTCGGACGCTTTGCAGCAGCCGTGGTCGCGGGGAGACACGACAACGTCGGGCCGAAGTTAAAAATCATTTTTTAAATAAGTTTAACTGATACATCGCGTTTTAAATCGTTAGTGTTTTATTTAAATGTGTACTACTCGAGTAAACTATTTACTACTTACTAGACAGTATTTGGTTGACTTCGATTAACAGTTTTATTGTAATATGAGTTGTGGTTTGGATTAATGATACTAACTTTCAGGCGTTATATTAACCTTTTATGCTATCCTACTCTCCTGTGGGACCCTATTCCTGTCGAACGGAGTGGAAACCTACGTCAGTATTATACAGAGCTTGGATCTATCGAGGCCGATGATATTTCTCATAAAACTATCGCTGGGAGCGCCGTTTGCCTTCCACTATTTCAATGGTATTCGCTTCTGTCTCTGGAACGCGGGCAAAATGCTCGCCATGAAAGATGTTCAGGATTCCGCCAAAAAGGTGTACATTGGCACCGCTGTACTCTCACTTCTCTTTGCGATTTTGTAATAAGATATCGTGGAATTGAAGAGGTTTTATTAAAATTTACGAGAAAGATAAAACGTTATTTATTAGCTATTACAAAATCAGGTATATGTCAAAAAAATATTGTCGCTTAGCTTACTATTCAAAGGAAATATATGGAATAACCTTACGTTTAGTAGTCTGCGTCTTAATCTATATACTAATATAAAGCTGAAAAAGGTTGTTTAAACGCGGAAATTTGAGGAACCACTGGTTTGAATTGTGTTAGTCAGAACATCTACCGAGGAAGGCTTAAGGCTTTAAAGCACGCTGTGACCAATAGATAAGAAAGGATGATATCTGATTTATAAAAATGACAAAAAAAATCCTTTAAAATTAACTTGAAAAAATGACGGCACGTGGACGACGTTGGTTGTGGACGATAGCTATAATTTATAAAGATGAAGAGGTTGGCGGACGAAGTCGCGGGCACAGCCAGTTTAGAAATATTTGTCAAAACATTATTAGACGTAGCAGTCGAGTCGTTTAAAACCTAGGTTTACAAACCGATTTAGGCATTCGCCGCTTAGATATCAGTTTCGTAATTGATGCTCCTCTTTTTTTGGAAACTTGAAATTTTTCATATGGCATTATAAAAATTGAATTATGATTTAGATTGAAAAGATAGGTATAAACCATACATGCATTTTGAAGAAATTCGATAATGACACGATATATGACACAATATCTCAGTTGGTTAGAACAGCACGGAACGGTCCTGCTCGTATATTTGCCTGAATTTCTGAAAAATACGTATCCTAATTGACGTTTTCCAGGTTCGAAGAGTAATTCTTTCGTATCGTATTTGTTCTAAATAAAACATTTATAATTATGACCGTAGGGCAAACACCCACTATGCTTTTAGCGAGAAAAAACATTGACAAATGATTTATTCTAATTACAAGCTCTTAGACATTACATTTCTGTGAAAGAAAATATAAATAAGATTCGAACTCAATAATTGGAATTCATTAAAACCCATTTCTAAATAAAGAGTTGTCTTTTAAGAAATATAAGGTAGAAAAATATATTAACAAAGTAATTTAAAAGCTTTTTTGCACTGAAATCGAAATGTTTTTATTTTACACTTCAAACTGCTTTCAACAAGAAATTCGAATTAAAAAGTTAGTTTTTCAATACGGTACACAGGATCAAATGTTATCTTGACATAATCAAAACACGATACTTGTTTGATCTAAATATACAACACTTTAACGGTTTAAAACGCGATATAGTAAAACTTATTTGACAATTTGAAAATTAAAAATTGATGAAACATATTTGACTCAGTCGAGATCCAACCCGTTGACTGTTAGACAAAAATTGTTACAAAAGCCCGTCAAATTTTCCAAGATTGAAAAAGCCTTTTTGTTCAGACGCAAGTGAAATAAATGATCCATTTCTAGAAAAACCTTCGCACAACGAGACTTCGAGAGACAAAAGCGACATCTTCAAGAACACAACAGATTAAATAATTCTAGAACCGAGCTAGATTCATCGTCGCAGCGTGATTTTAGCTTGTAGCAACACTTTGTGAGTTGATGTTCGTTATGGCAAAAATTGGGTCAGTCCAAAACAACTTCATCGGCGACCTTAATTAATTAACTCAGTTGTATTGTATCTGACTTTTAGTTGAGTGTCATTGTTATTTTGTGCTTGTTCTTTTTTATTAATTATTCGCTTCGCTCGCGTGCAATGTTGACTAAATACATCACAGGAAAACTGTGAACGCTGTATATAAAAATCTACGTCATGGATAACCATATAGATATAGATACTAAACCGCACTAAAATCCGTTGCGTAGTGTGAAAAATTAAAGTGTTTAAACTACTTTGTTTTACACTGTGTAGTGACGTCACAGTGACATAGACTCCTAGATTACATTGGCTAGCTCGTTGCTCTAATGGTAGAAATGTACGGCTAATGATCAACGGGTCATTTCAAGGGTTCGATCCCCACCTGGTCAACATGTTTCTTATCAATTTATAATTTTTCTGATACATGTTGGACTTCTGGAAACCTGGATATTACAGAGTAGTAGGACTATCGAATATCCCGCACTTGTCGCGAACCACCGTCCACAGATGGAAAAACCGAGAAATTTAATCGCGTTTCGGTTTCAGTCCAATCCAAAGCCAAAATAAGTCGACAGCACATCGTGTTTAGGTGCTATAGCCGGGGCCTGTCCTCCTCTACCATTGCCTCTGTAGCCAAATGGTTAAACGTATTGCCTAGCAATGCATAAGCGCGAGAGGTCCTGGGTTCGAATGCCAGGGCAAAAAATGTTTCGGTCGGGCAGAGCACAGAAATCTCATCAACTACTTGCCTGTTAAAGAACGGATCAGTGAAACTGACACAGAAATGAGTTCGCCCCATGCCCCACGAGGGATACGGGATTTCACACACACACACAATATGCTACGAAATGAAGATTTGCACTTAAAGTAACGATACTATTAACTTCTTGTCGTTCAATAATGTAGTACAGTAGGTTACTTTTTATTAAATGTTATTCGATAAAATTTTGATCGATCCTAAAGATTTTTTTTATTTCTGTTTACTAGATTTTTGATAATAGAAAAAATAAATCTATGTTCACATCTTCATCTTAATGTTAATATTGTTTATTTATTATCAAAAAGGTATTTCTAATTATTTGATTATTTTTTTATAATTTTTTGATATTATCGTCTATTCTGTAGACTTATTACTTTTTTAATATTTTAATTGACTATCTTTTATGATCTTTTTTAAATAAAACACTTTAACAGTTTAAAACGCGATATATTAGTTATCTTCTACTTCTAACTATCTTTTGAAATGTCGGCAAACAAAGGCATTATGTTTTTTTGTTGGAAAATGAAATAGGGTTTAAGAGAAATGTGTGATAAAAGTTTCTATTAACCGATTACGTAAGATTAAAGGAGATCAAATCCTATGACACGCCCTGGACTTTAAGGAGTGGTGGATTAATAAACAAATAAATCTACATCAATAATTAATATTGCACTAGACTAATTTACTTACCTTTTACGATGACAATGGCGACTCACATGTAAAGAAATAATGAAGTTACATAGAAATAAATTTGTGTTCCCAAAAGTGGGAATACAAATTACACGGACATCAAAGCGGCTTCTTTTTTCTTAATTTTAAGTTATAACTCAACGTGGCCTTTTTACTAGTAAATATACATTATTTATTTTTTAAGTATTAAAATTGTATATATCAAGTATTTTATGATAAGAATTAAAAACTAAATGTACACTATCGGATAGCGTAACGTCCATGTATTCCAGGAAATTGCACCGAGGTCAAAGTTCACACAATGTCCGTACTGAGGTTAAATAACCTTAAAAGTAGAATTTCACTATAGGAATAAAACACAGTAGATAATACAGACAGTATAACAATAGCTTGAGAATCTTATAAAAACTAGTGTTTCGAAAATCGAAGTCGGGAAATTCGATAAAAACGCCGCATTGCCGTCTTTGCTTACAAATAGTGAAAAACAAATGAAAACTCACCTTATCCTCGCGAAGAATGCATCCAATAATTGTTTGAGATTATACACACGATTCTTACGCGAATTTACGATTTACGATAATTTGTACGCGTTCACGTTCAACAACGACAGGCCCGGCTGCATAGAATGCGCGAATATATAAAACTACGTGCGAATATATTTTTCCTTCGCCCCTATTGAATTGCATCGAAGCTTCAGAATTTCTATACGAGCATATCGTATGGGTGTTCCATGCATTTTGGCTCGGTAAAGACAGAATATCTCATGTCTTTGATTTAGGTCGATTAGGTTATACACAACGATATATTTTTAGCGGAGAAAACGCATGCGCCAGCATCGACCTATCTTTGTTATATTACTCAATGGGTGACGTCATTTTTTGGGGTTGGAACCCCTATATTTTACCCTTATAGTACGCACGAGCTTAGTTGTGTAGAAGTTGTAACTTCATTGATTTCGCACAAAATACGTTTCGGAACACCTATAGGTGTAGTCTGTATGCAGAATATTGCTGGAACAGCAGCTAAAATATCAGCTCTAATTGGTAGTTAAGATGCATACAAACGTTACGTACAGTAGTATCAACTCTGCATAATTCGCGAAATAAATCTCGACAAACGGAATTTTATTATGAAGTTTATAAATACGTTACTGAATAGGTTGTGTGGGCGAAGTTTAAGAAAATATAGAGTTAATTTCGCTTTGAAAATGACCAAAGGCAAGCTATATTACGAAGGTGTTTCTGTGTGTTGCTGGTAGAGGGCGTAAGGTAGCAGTTGGATGGCTTCGTGCTTCTACAGCTCAAAGACAAATCAATAGTAAAGTTTAATAACTCGCGTTATAGTTTTCAACGCGTGAAGGGCATGAAGTGTGAAAAATGTTTCTTTACTTCTCAATCAAATGATAGATTAAGTTCGAATAAATTAATAATCAATAATAAAAATGTAGGCAGGACTTGAACCGGCATCGTCAACGTTCCGTGCTGTTCCTCTAACCAACTGAGCTACCGACGCGGTCCAAGACGGTTTATTGTCAATTTTTTATTTATATGTATAGTGCCATCATGCGCAATAACATGTGGAAAATATTAAAGTTATCAATAAACCTCATAAAATAAGTCTTCATTGTTCATCAATAGTAACAATTATTCGTATGGGCCTCCTCTAACATTTAACAATAATACAAACAACAAAGAAGCAAAAACACGAGAAACTCCCCCAAACCGGCTAATTATATAATATATAGTTATTAAAAGACCAAGGCCCTCTTAGATAAACTTCATATTTAAAAGCTAGCTTTAATTTATATACCATAACTTATTCGAATTCAAGTTTAATACTAGACAAGGTATTCGTATTCTTTTTTAAAAGCATTTATTTCTTGGTAATCGAACCCCAAAATCCCCTAGTTGTTAGTAAAAAACAAAAGTTCAACTTAATATTACAATTATTTACTCGAAAAAGGAGATGAAACAAGTCAATATCAAATTATTGTGTTAAATATAATAAAGTTAATAACGTCAGAATTATACATCAAGTCTATTACGTTATCCATAATTAGAAGCAGGAATCAGACACTAAAGGTCATATATCTGTGTCTGTGTGAATACGATCTGTATGGCATCCGAACCCAAGACCTCTTATGCCACTGAAACGGTGTGGAATGAGCCAACCGTTTTGCTTCACTTCGTGATTCTTATAACTATTTCTTGATAAGTTTAAAGGCCTGAGAATTACTAACTTCCAACCCCAGACATTTAAATACAAAATTTCACGTAGTCCATAGAATTAAATCGATCAACATTAATTCAAACGTGTTTTACCTCGAAAAATACAGTAAAAATCAACATTAATAAATTCCCAACTCAGTACTCTTCAGTATGTTTTGAAATTGTTACCGTACATTTAAATTATCATTTTAATACGTCGCACATAATATTCTTCTTTTTCTACATCCATAAATCCTCTTTACTTAATTGTTGCAACCTAACCTTTACAATTGGCCATTATATAAAAAAAAAACAGGACGTTTTTGACTACATACATTCCTTGTCACATATAAGTAGCCTTTTGTGTTTGGACCTTTTATTTTGATTGATATATAACATGTTACATTTGGTACGTTAATAGCAATTTATCTTCTTAATATTCTTTACCTGTAAACACTTTTAAGCCTCTGTAGCTAAATGGTTAAACGTGTTGCCTAGAATTGCATTAAGCGCGAGAGTTCTCGGGTTCGAATCCCGGGAAAACAACAGATAAATTTCGGTTAGTAGTCCATCAACTACTTGCCTGTAAATAAAATCGTTGTGACGGACAAGGTAGTCCCATGCCCCCGAGGGAAGGAATTCCATGTTTTTAAATAGACAAGCGTTACCTTTAGTGTATTCTATTATTCTGGATGTTAACTACTTTGAAATCTATAACGAGCCAATTTTAATACAGCTCTACTAGATACTTATTAGATACGACTACGGCGGGACTTGAACCGGCATCGATTGGTCGTGCTGCTGATTTAACTTAGTAGCTCAATTGGTTACAACAGTAGCACGCTGTGCATGCCAGTACGAGTGCCGACCGTATCGCATTTTTTTTATATATTAGATTTTAATTATAATGCCACCATGCGCGATGACATGTGAAAACAAGTTTTCAAACATAGTAAGAATAATTATGGTATAAATTAGCAATGGGTAAAATGTTTGGTATTTATGAGTCAACTCAAATATATAAACGAAAAAAGTTTTAGAAATTTTACCATCTATCAATTTTAGTTTCTTTTTTATTAATTGTAAGCTATCGTTATCTGTACTTTAAATGTTTAATTTTATCTTTATTTAATATAATTAGTTAAAGTGGTGCATACCTTTACGTTACATACATAGGTAGTAAGAATTATTATTAGAAATAACCGTTGTGAGTTTACGTAGGTAGTTGGTAAGCCCTTTATAAATAAACAAACAGTATAAATCGCTTTAGCGGGTCACATACACATTTAATAATAACAATACATTTTATTCCTGTTTCTCTGAATAATTACAAATGTTTATAATTGAAACTAATAGGGCACAATACGATTTTATACAAGGTCCAACATCATAATTTGTGTAAGGCCTTCACGGCCATCGTTCAGCATATCATTGTGTTTTGGGCTGTCCCCTTCTCCTCTCCTGATGATGCCGTCCGCTCGTGATGGCGAAACGTCGAGAACCTCTTCTCGCTTACGTCGGCCGAACAGCCCGAAATATAATGATATTTATGCATATCAAAATCATAAGTTATTTAATAATCCTAACTTGTGTTTCTGTTTCCAGAAATATTTCTACGCCAACACAAAGGCCGCCATCAGTAATAGAACGAGATACAAGGGTAGATGCTTAGTTACAATTAACTAGATATCTATTTTATACTTCTAGTTAAAGGAAATAAGTTTTCCAACGACACTGAGCTATATGCGTCAAAACTAATATATATAGCTAACGGGCTTGTTTGTTTAAACGCGCTTATCTCAGGAACTACTGGCTTGTTTTTGGCTTGTGAGCATTTATCGAGGGAGGCTGTAAGCTATAAAACATCGCGCTGTGACTGACAGGAGCGAAGAGACAGCGGATTTAAACAATGATTCCTCTTTAAATGATCTGAAAAAGTGTCTCTAAGACTAATATATGTCTATCTTTTAAGATTAAATTGCTAGAACGCCGCGATCCAACGACAGGTCGTGTCGATTTATAAAGAAATAAAGAGGCGGTATTCAAAACAAATTTGCATGCTCAAATAGCTATTCGGACAAAGGCGCTGACACAACTAGTAATAAATATAACGACAGGATTACAAGGAATCTTGATCTATTTATTAACGACAAGGTCGCCCTTTTAGATAAAGAAATGTATTTATATTTTAAATCAATTAGCAGACACTATTTCTGCGTAGCAGTTCGTCGTCAACTCTATTTGTATTGGTTTAAGGACACTTAGTGCCCTATGCGTCCGAAAAAGTGTATTATTTATTTTATTTGAGGACTATGTATTCCCTAAAAAAAATATGTAAGGCTTTCACGGCCATCGTTCAACATATCGTTGTTTTTCGGGCTGTTCGGCCGACGTAAGTGAGAAGAGGTAACATCTCCTGATGGTGCTGTCCGCCCGTGGTGGCAAAACGTCGAGAAACTCTCGCTTACATCGACCAAACAGCCTGATACATGATAAGTTATTGTTCAATTATTTTACACGTTTTAATTACAGTATGTACCAGACAAGCCAGCTACACCATAAACCACCATAAGTACGACTGCTTGGTGATCGGGGCTGGTGGTGCGGGGTTAAGGGCGGCTATCGGCCTCGCTGAGCAGAAGTTCTCAGTGGCTCTTGTGACGAAAATGTTTCCTACACGCTCGCATACCATCGCGGCTCAGGGTGGAATGAATGCGTCTATAGGTATATATAGCATAAGCTTTTTAATATTTTCGTAAGCTAGCTGACCTGACAACCGTTACGATCTGAAGTACAAGGTGTATCAGCGACTTTGTTCGCGTAGATAGTAATGCCGCCTAATGGTAGCAATTTATGGCTAATGCTAAACGGGTCGTGGCTTCAATCATCACATACTCACTGTGAAAGACGCTGCACTTCGTCTGCAAATCTAGATATTAAATTGGTGGTAGTAATATAGACAATCCGTCCGGGTCACGAACTACCGTCCACAGATGAAAAAGCCGTAATCTTAATCGCGTTTCAGTCTGTGGATTTCCGAATATCCAAAGTCTAAATAGGACAGCGCATCTTGCTTAGATGCTAAAGGCTGGGGTTTACCTACCATCGAGTGAACCTGCCTGCCTGCCTTCCTCTATCATAAAAAAAACATCAAAACTTGTTTTTCCAAACCTCCTCTTCATGTTTATAGATTTAACTCAATTGATTTAACCTTACCTACAATGTTCTTGCTGGTTAATCTTTATAGACATATAGTGTGACGGACACTTCTTAGATAATTTAAAGAGTAATCATTATTTCACACATATTTGATACATAATTTTTACCCTTTTTTTTCATTTTGCGCTGTTTCATCGCTTCTATTAGTCACTGAGCAATGTTTTATAACCATAAAGCCTCTCTCGATCAATGCTCTAACTAACACAAAAACTATTTTTAAATCGAACCAGTAATTTTAGAGATTAGCACGTCAGAAACACACTCTTTAGCTTTATTATATTATTTACATTAGTATAGATTTTGACTAAATTTGATTTCTATAAAAACCTATCTCGTGCGAGGTTAATCTTAAAATATAGATATATACTAATCGCGGACATTTAGAGGTAGCTGGCATGGGTAGGACGAAATTAACAAAGAACTGATGTTTTCCATTATCGGTCATATTAAATATGCCATTACATCCAATCCTATAATGGCGCATTGTAATCTTTTTAAATATTTAATTAACATAAAAGGGATAATGGAAGTTTGAAACTGCTACCTTTATCACTAGTCAAATTGTTACGTACGTTTGAATTTTTATTGAACAAAGTTAACATGTTGCCTAACATGGCGTTAAGGTCGATAGGTCCTGGGTTCGAAACCAGGAAACAAAAGAATGTTGCCTGTATATAAAACCTATTTTTTTTGTTGAAAGGGACGCAAAATGTTTTGACTTTTAAATTCTTAGTATAATACGCTTTTCATCGGCTCACGAAATAAATAAATAAAATACAAAATAAATGTTAAAAACATACGTGTACGTCAAGTGAATAGTTCACGTGAGAGTACTTTTTAAATTGTGTAAGGCTTACACGGCCATCGTTCAGCATATAATTGTTTTTCGGGCTGTTCCATGAATTATGAGATATAAAATACTTTTTGTTTGACACTGAACATATTATGTCTGCAATATTTAAATAAACAAACAATATCGGTGCTCCTATTGTCTGCAGTTTAATATTATTTTATTTCCAAAAAATTCACGATCAAATAAACATTGGTCCGAGAATTAAAACTCGGGAATATTCTATCGCTTTATTGTATACCCTCTCGGCGTAAACGTTCGTAACATTTCCAAATAACGTAATAATTTAATCGGATTCAGTTTCCGTGTAATTGCACTCGAAAACGTTGTTTTATCGATATATTTAATATCTGACCTGCGTAAGGAACAGGAACATAGCTAGGTCGGCAAGGGCCCCGCTATATAAAAATTCGGGCCCTCATTGCCGCATTGTACCTTGAATTTATACCTCCAAAATTATACATAGAAACAAGAACATTTTAAAATTGGAATCTTTCTTTAACACCTATTTTATTTTAAGGTGAGGTTAGAGGGCCTAAGCTCCGAGGCCCTGCTGAACTGCACCACCGGACCCTACGATAGCTATGCTTACGACTACAGTTATTCAGTTGAAATTGATTGAGTGGATAAATTGGAAAAACGTTACAAGCGATTAATATTCGATTTTCCGTTTAGTTTGTTTTTTAAGAGCGCTTCCTCTTGATTACATCATCTATATCGATTTTCTGCTAATTGTTAAATAAATTTGTGAATTGCTGACGTGATTACTTACAAACGCGAAATGTATTAGTTAACTTGTTTACAATATATTTCAACTACGACTCGAGGTTTCGGACGCTTTCCAGTAGCCATGGTCACCGTGGCCCCCGCGTTTTAAACCGTTAAAAGTGTTTTGAATGTGAACTATACTGCAACATAACTTGTAACGGTTACTCGCGTTAATAACAGACAATACATAGTAACAAGTAAAATACAATTTTTATTTTAAACAAATGTGATATTCCGGGTCGAAGCTGTGTCCGTTCTTGTATTATTGTCCAGCTAAAGTAAAACTTGGTTTAAATAAATAATTTTACTTGCAATTTGTCCCTTTAGGTAGTATGCACGAGGACGATTGGAGGTGGCATTTTTATGACACTGTTAAAGGCTCCGATTGGCTTGGAGACCAGGTGAGATGCTATATCATAGAATACCCGGCTTTGTCCGCAATTCAATTTGATTAGTTATATACGATTTGCTGTAGATTAAAACCCCAGACAATAATTATTACTTAAAAATGTGGTTCAACAAGCGATATAAACACTGATCATTTTATTACCTTATTTCCTATTTCTGGCTACAACTAATTATTTGAGAAAGAACACACAGAAGTTAATATGTAGTTAGTAGAACAAAGTTATCAAAAACAACAAAAGTCAATCTTTGATGGGTACACTTGGATTCCTGGGGTATCTGGGCTGGGGCAGCTGGGGTATCTAGGGTAACTGGGGTATCTGGAGCAACTGGAACGGCTGGGGCAGCTGGGGTATCTAGGGTAACTGGGTCACCTAGGCCATCTTGGGCATTCTGTCACTAGAGGGAGCCTGCAGAGAGTAGGCACCCCACATACACTTAATGACCGGCTTCAGGACTCCATCCAACAATTGACCCGCGATGCTCCCAATTGCGTTTATGAGCTGGAAAACATGGGGATGCCCTTCTCAAGAACCAAAGATGGGAAGATATACCAACGCTCCTTTGGTGGGGGTACAAAGAACTGCGGAAAGGAGATGGCTAAACGGACTTGTGCTGTTGCTGATCGGTAACTCTTAAAAATTATCATTTTTTATGCTAGCCGTGGACAGGAGAGCCTTGTTCACTTGATGGAGGATAAAATGCCGCCATCTTCGAGTCCCGCCTGTGACAGATTTTTAAAATGTTCCTATTAGTAATATTCTGCATTATTAATGACGCTATGCATGTCCTAGACAAAGAATGACAATTTCTACGGTTGTCGATTTGATTCCTGCTTGTATAGATTTTATATGTTTAACTAATATTCGAGCATTTTGTTATAGAACAGGACACGCTCTTCTGCATACTCTGTACGGCTATAGTACTAAGTTCAAAAACATCAAGCTGTTTAGTGAATTTTTCGTGTTGGATTTGTTGCAACAAGAAGGTGCTATTGTGGGTGCCTTGGCTTTGGATATGGATGACAGTAGCTTGCATCGGTGTGTTACTTAATACTTAACACAAACTTGAAACATACAACAAACTCTTTTTTTGTCACAGCCGCGCTTACTACATTTTAAGTTTGCTTAAAAAACAAAATATAGAACAATGTAAAAAATACTGTCTGTATTTGACGCGAGTAGTACTAAATAAAACACTTTTATAGTTTAAAACACGATATATATTGGTGAAACGTATTTGTAAACTATTAAGCTGAAGAAAATAATTTAAGGTGAATTTAAATAAAACACTCCCGTGACCACGGCTGCTGCAAAGCATCCGAAACGTCGGGCCGTAGTTAAAAATAATTTACAAACAAGATTAACTAAAATATGTCGCGTTTTAAACCGTTAGTGTTTTATTTAAATGTGTACTACTCGCGTAAACTACAGACATTGAAATTCTTGGCTATATAGTTATTATACTACTATAGTTTGTATATTGTTTACATGTGAAAATTATTGAAGTTTTCAAACTTTAAAACAGTTTTCAAGCCAAGAACACCGTTATAGCTACCGGTGGATATCCAAGAATGTTTTTCTCCTGCACAGCAGCTCACACTTGTACGGGCGATGGTTGTTCAATGGTGACTAGACTTGGCTTACCATTGCAGGATATGGAGTTCATACAATTCCATCCAACTGGTACAAGTAGAACATGTATTACTTGTTTAGTCGTTTATTAGAAACTGCTGGAGTGATTTTAATAAAATTTTATAGTGGTGACTAGTCGACTTGACGGCCTCTGTGACCCTGAATGATAGGTTGTCTAATTACGGGTTCAGCACGCGGTAGCCGGGGTTCGAATCCCCGGAAAGATGGCAAAAGAGTTTCGTCAAGTAGGACACAAGAAACGCTAATTTAAAAAACAAAAAAAAAACGAAGTAGCGGTTAACATATTTAATTGATGTTAAGTTACAGACGAGAAGTTAATCAAACTAGTCTGCCGTGCCTTGCCGAAATATTTATAGTTTTCCCGAGATTCAAACCCAGGACGTCTGGCTGACGTTGACGCGATGCTAGCTTAGGCCATTATGGATCCAGTTTAATTTCACTTGCACATGATTCGATTTTATTATTTGTATAGATAAGATCTTCTAATCTGCTAAGCTCTATACTTATACACTAGCTATGCCGACGACTTCATCTGCGTAGAATAGTAATTGTGGGCATAAAATTCGTTTTTTTTATAAATTTTAGCCCTTCCGATGACGTCGGTCGCGTGCAAGTGAATCTTAAAAGATAGACATGTACTGTCGCTCACATTTTATGTATTATTTAAAGAAGAAGCATTCTTTCATACATAAATTTCCGATTTCTTGAATCGTATATAAAAATACCTGCGTTGCAGGTATGTACGGCTCTGGTTGCTTAATGACTGAAGGATGTCGCGGAGAAGGTGGCTACCTCGTGAACAGCGAGGGTCAAAGGTTTATGGAGAAATATGCGCCAAAAGCCAAAGATTTGGCGAGCCGGGATGTTGTATCCAGGTCGATAGCCACTGAGATCAGACAAGGTAAAAATTTGAGTACTGTCTGTAGTTCACACATAGAGATAAAACACTACTGTGGGTTTAACAAGCGCAATGTAGTTGTTACATTTATTTCCACCCCCAACTTCGGGCCGAAGGTAAAATAAATTGTAAGTTTAATTTTCGCGATTTAAACCGTTAAAATGTGTTTTATTTGGAGGTAAAAATTAGGTAATGTTAGCTGCTATAAACTTTTTACGACTATGTATTCGTAATATACCGTTTTAAATTGGGATAGGAATTTCTTTGGGTTGTAAGATTCTTGTCAAGTTTTTGACCATCGAGATAATTTAATTTCTTAGTTCTCCGTTAAATCCGTCTTATCAAATTTTATAAAAATCGGTTGTATATAATAAATATTTCAACGGGCCGTAGTTACATACAAATTAACTAATATCTTTCGTGTATGGCCACACATTAAAAGTGTTTTATTTAAATCTATAAAAAATCGAATACAAACGTTAACAATAAAGACTTGTCCATAACTGTGTTAGCGTCAGACTAGACGGATTTGTCTCGCTGCGATCGTTGTTTCAAAGTCCTGAGTCCTGAAACTCACTCACTTACACAAACAATCACACACACACAGGTTAGCAAGTGACGAGATCTTTCAATATAACGTTTTATTGTAAAACCAAAAAGCTCGCGCCCAACACATATACCTTTTTAAATAAAACGCGATATAATATATTAGTTGAACTTATTTGCAAAATGATTTTAACCACGGCACGACACTTCGGATGGTTTGCACCAGCCATGGTTACGGGGAGACACCACTACTAATATATCGCGTTTTAAACCGTTAGTGTTCTATTAAAATGTGTACTACTGGCGTAAACTACAGGCAGTATTATACATGTGTGTTAGGCGTAATACATGTATAATAATGTTTCAGGAAGAGGTGTCGGCCCTAAGAAAGATCACATGTACCTTCAGTTACACCACTTGAAGCCGGAAGTAATTCACAAGCAGTTGCCTGGAATTTCGGAAACGGCTTACACCTTCACTGGTGTTGATGTCACAACAGAGCCAGTTCCAATAATTCCGACTGTTCACTACACTATGGGGGGCATCGCTATTAATTATAAGGGAGAGGTATTATATTACAGTGCAGTTTGGCCTCTTACATACTTAATTAAACATTTTTATGTAACCAGCTGTGGATGGTCAAACGCCCGTACAAATGTACTCTGTTTTTATTATAATATTATTTTATAGCATAGCTAGCGTAACTCTAAATCTATGTCAGCGACGTGCTCACTTCAATGTTTATATTAAAAGCAAATTTACAAGGTTAGCTTAGTGAGCGTCCTATTTTTCCACTTTCTTGTAAATTATATTAAAACAATATTGATAGGAAATAAAATAGTTGCACTACAGCACTCATTGGGTTTGGTTACCTCGCCTCCCTCTTAAACTTATCTTATATGCATTCACGTATACTTTCCAAACTGTTATACGCAACAGTCGCTGGTACCCGAAACTCGGGAGTATACGTCTAAACTGTTGTACATTACAAGCTGTGTCAGCGTAGAATAGTTGTTTTGAGCATATAAATTCGTTTTCGAAACCATCTCTTCATCTTTATGAGTTCGAGCTCTTACCAGCGACAATGCCATAAACAATTCATTCGAAGCATACTGTCGCGGATATTTTTGTAGAACCTTAAAAGAGAAATCCTTCTTTCATACATATTTTTGGCGGATCTTTAAACTGATTTTTTAGTGTACGCATCGGAAAGTCACGAAAATTCAAAAAATTCAAATTTTCAAATTTCAATTTCAAGTTTTCCCAATTTTTCGCTTCTATTCTCCTAGTCACAACGCGGTGATTTAGCCTATATAATTTTTCAATTCGAACCAGTAGTTCCCGAGATAAGCGCGTACAAACAAACAAACGCTTCAGCTGTTTAGATTGGTATAGATTTCATGTAATGTAGTTTGTCTATAGGTCGTTGGGTTCGATTCCTCTACACGCGCGTAGAACACCTTAATGGACAGACTTAACTTTAGATTTATTTTTACGTAGATACACATAGTATTTAATATTGACGATGTATTTAACAGTGCATTGTAAATAAGGAAGGATGTGACGAGGTGATCCCGGGGCTACATTCTGCGGGGGAAGCTGTCAGTAATTGCCACGGCGCTAATCGGCTTGGGGCTAATTCGATTCTGGACGTGGTGGTGTTTGGGAAGGCGATCGGAGTCAATGTAGGAAACATATCGAAGCCTGGCGATTCCCAACCAGAATTAAACCACGTTAGTATCCCAATTTTTGTTGCCCTCCGTGGTGGTATATGATAGATGACGTTCGCTTGATGGTAGTTGAAATACCGCAGCCATAGTCTTATTATTAAGGTTTGGCTTAGCCAGTTATTGTCAGAATTGAATTACTTTATAAAACGACTAATGTACTGAAACTTGGCGAAGCCAAATCTAACTTACGTCAAGATCTCAAATTTAGTTGTACCATGTTGTACCTTTCAAATAAAGCAAAGAAATAGAGTATATCACTTGTTCATAACATTATCTTGGCACTATTTACATCTCCATTCTTTTTACAGCGAATAACAGGACAATTTTTGTTTTCAACTCTACTCCCTATTTTTTACATTTATGTTCTCGATGGGATAACGTTTCCTTCGCAAAACTAACGTTACGATGTAACTAAAATCGATTAGTGATACGGGACTGTCCTCCTTACCGTACTTACTCATTACCGTGAATGTACCTATGTAATTGTAGAATGTTTGCGACTCGGCGATCGACAATTTCGAGAAAATTCGAAACGCCAACGGTAGTGTTTTGCCCCACGAGCTTCGCTTGAGCATGAGGACAACGATGCAAAACAAATGCGGTGTATTTAGAGAAGCTAAATTACTAGACGAAGGTCGGTATACTTTTGTATTTTCTATGATATAGGACAGTTAGCCATATAACATATAAATATTCGAAAATGCACAGATTGAAATCGACACGTGATTCAATTTCACGGCTTTATCTGTGGAGGATGGCTCGTTGCCCGGGCGCAATTTTGATATTCCTACCACCGATTTAATATGCAGATTCCCTGACGAAACACATGTCTCAGAGAAATTAATGAGAAACATTCGACCCTGTGTTGATTATTAGCCATAGATTGCTACCATTACAGCAACGTCCAGCCAGCCCGTCAATATATATATGTTTGAAACAGTGCCAATAGCTCTCTTAATGGTTTTTTTTTAACTTTATTTATTTTTAACTTGCAACACCTAAGTGTCAGTAATAGAGGTCGACGTCAGAAAGTGTAGAAAATGTCTTCTTTCGATAATTATAAACTTTTAAATAAAACATTTTAACGGTTTAAAACGCGATATATTAGTTAAACTTATTTGATGATGATTTTTAACTTCGGCCCGACGTTTCGGATGCTTTGCAGCAGCCGTAGTCACGGGGAAATCATTTTGAAAAAAGTTTAACTAATATATCGCGTTTTAAACCGTTAAAATGTTTTATTTAAATGTGTACTACTCGCGTAAACTTTCTTTATTTCAACCTAGACTAATAAGTACTTAATACATTGGATTGGCCGTCCCCTACAGACATTTATTAAGCCTATCAGGTATATAGAAGCCTAAATAATTCCATTAGCTAGCCAGCGTATCATGAACTGTCCTCCATGGAAAATGTGTAGCTATTACAAATACATTTGTGGCGAGAACATGTTTTTGATAGCTGATTTAGTCAAAGGTTTTGGAAACCTGTCAAAATTTGACATAAGTACACTGTTGGGGAGAAACTAAGCCGCCGATAAAACAGACAAGGAACATTGATGAATGTTTTTGTTCAGTCTTATTAATTAATCTATACTTAATATTATAAATGCGAAAGTAACTGTCTGTCTGTCTGTCCCGCTTTAACTCCGAAACTACTGAACCGAATTTGAATGAATGAAAAATGAAATTTGGTACACAGATATTTTAGAGCTTGAAAAACAAATACTACTACACTACTTTTTAATGCCAAAAAAGGCGTTGATAGGGGTCGAAAAAGGGATGAAAGTTTGTATGGGAAAATCGGGGTCTGAAGCTAGAACAATGAAACTTCATTCTTTGGCTTTTTGGGAATAGGAGTAGGAGTGGGAGTGGGAGTGAAAGTGTTGCGGCAAAGTAGCATTTACAAAGTTAAATGCGCCCTTGCATAAATTAATAAACAGCCTAAATAATTAAAAATTCTAACCCAAGTCACTATTCCACACAGACGAAGTCGCGGGCACAGCTAGTGTTCTATATGCAGGTAACATTACGCTTTAAAATTCATATTAACCATGTTTACAGCTCAGAATGAAATACAAAAGTGGTACGCAGCATTCAAAGACATAAAGGTCACAGATCAGAAACTGAATTATAACACCGATTTGATAGAATGTCTTGAGCTCCAGAACATGTTGCAAGCTGCGGTACAAGTCGTCGCCTGCGCAAGAAACAGAACTGAGAGTAGAGGTAGGCTCAGTTGTGTAGAATATGATTTTTTCAAATATACTAGATGACCTGGCCAACATTATTAAAGTACAGTATTGTACGAAATTTGATTACAATAATAAAAGGTTCTTGTAAGTTAATTATAAAAAGATATACTGTACAAGAAATAAATTATTGTCGTGGACATTTTTTAAGATCCAGTCAAGAAGAAGGCCTAATTATTGTCTTTCACTATTCAAGGGAATCCCTCAAAAAAGTGTTTTTTCCACGGTTTTGACACTTCGGTACTATTCGTCGCAGCTTGCAGCATTTTTATAGCCTTAAAGCCTTCTTTGAGAAATGGTCCAGCAAATTCACAAATATTTTTCAATTCGAACCGAGATTAATCCGTTCTAACACTTCAGCTTTATGATATTATTGTTTAATAAAATAGTCTTATTTCTTTTTAGGGGCACACTTTCGTGATGACTTCCCAAAAAGGGAGGATGAAATGGACTACAGCAAACCTACCGAAGGTCAGGTAAGGAATCTTGGGTCCCTTTATAAATTAAAAAGATTGTTTTTTCTAAACTCTCCTGTAAACCACCTGCCCCATATCTAAAGCAGGATTTTACCATACTCAAAGTAAATTTAATTTAAATTTCTGCTCTAGACTCCAAAGCCGATGGAACAACACTGGCGCAAGCATAGCCTCTCGCACCTTGATTTGGCAAGTGGAAAGGTCACTATCTCGTATAGACCAGTAATTGACAAGACTTTGGATGACGAAGTCCAAACGATACCACCAGTGCCTCGAGTCTATTAACTTTTTACTAAGTACCTATTTATTCTGAATTAAGATGACTCGTCGAGAAATTACATTTTTAATGTTTACCGAGCTACGATTTGTAGTAACCATTTGGACATCCACGGGAATGCCAGGAAAAGCTTTGTTTTAACCAGTAGAGCATAGATCTAAAAATTATGCATCCAATGGATAGAGTTTACCATTTCCCCTCACACTCGTATCACGAAAAGTTATAATAAACGAAAGCTTTTCATTTTACTTGCATCTTGTACTTAAAAGCGAAATAAAGGATGTTTACAGTTAATATTTTCCTCTTTCTCAATTGCTATTGCGCAAAAATAATTCCCCATACCTCCCCAACGACGGGGCGGGTAGCACAGGTTATACCCCATACCTCAATAACACCCCCCCCGCTACCCACTATGCGTTGGCGAATGTAAAGGGCAAAGGCTAAGCAATGACGTATTACACATTTCGCATTTAGTATTCTCATATATTACATTTTACCAAATATTAGGCGATTCTAGTTGGATCAATTAAAAACTTCTATTTATAATTTATTATTACATACAATATATTTTACTCTATATTGTATGTAACTGTTTTTGTTTGTCATCGTCTGTTTATATAAGTAAATTTCAGTGACATCAAAATAATCATTGCATTATTATTTACTTATTTTGTAAAAAAAAAACGTTAAAATATGTAAAATTAAAAAGACACGACACTAAAGCAGCAACACTTCGTTGAAGATTTAGTCTATAGTCTATGGGATGCATAAGACCAGACAATTGTATTGTTGCCAGTTTTATCGAGATCGCCATTAATGGCGTTTTTTAAACTTTAAGTTTATAAATTCATTTGTTTTGCTTTAGCATAAAAAATTGAATATACAATTAAAACATTATTAGGTAATGACATATTTTAAACCAATAGAGATATTATACTTGTTCAAACATGTGTTTAAAATAATTTACTTATTTGGCGATTTTTGCCTAGCGTTTCGCCCACTTGTAGTATCTACAAACTGGCAACACAGTTCGGATCGGCATTACAAGCTAACAAGCAAGCTTTAAAATTTTATAAGTTCTATGCATTTATCAAAGCTTCGTGTATTGAAAATCTCAGTTTGCATTGAGTATTCGTAAATAAAACTTGTCCGCATATTTGGTTTAGTGCTTGAATTGAACCCTAAGAGTGTTATAAAAACATGGAGGAGGCGAAATATGACGACGACCCGGAACAATTTGGCTTGAGAAATGAAGATCCCGAGTTCGGGACCCCGCCGTGGGAGGAAGAAAAGAAAGCGTATCTTTGGATGGGCGGTGTGTTCGAGTGTTTCACGAGCGTCGTATCCATTTTCAAAGGCGACGAGTACAAAGCCGCTAAGGGTGAGTACATTGTTTACCCGGAGTTTCCGTTTGCGCTGCATGGCTGCAGTTCCAAGGTCGCTGCGCTACGCAGGTGAACCCTGATTGATTAACGCTATGTTTATTTATAAACTTGTCCTGGGATTTATTGATTTATGAATCGCTCTCCTCTATGTGGCTTTCAAAGTTCAAGTTCACTGATGTTAATGTTTCTTCATTTTTAAGTTCTTCTTGTTACATTTATTTCTTATTTGATATCTTGTTTCAACTAATTGTTAATACATAACATATATACAGTAGCAAGTGGGGTTATCAGAATTTCCCTATTAAACATTTAAATTTAGCTGTAATTGCTTAAAATTTTGCAAATACATGCTTATAATGTCTGCAAATGTCTGAAATCCCCTTTCACCTTGGTTGGGAGCGAGGCAAATACATTTGTGTATCAATTTCAATGTACTATTTTTAGAAATAAGTTGCAACAGCATTCGATTATACTTCTATGTCCTGCTTAACCTAAACAATTAATCATTTGCCCGGGGTTCAAACCCAGGACATCACAAGGCTTGCGCAATGCTAGGCAACATGTTAAACCCTTCAGCTACAGAGGTGACAAATTACAATATTTATATATTGTTGGCAATGCAATTTTAGTAAAAAAAAATGATTGACTGTGCCAATTTACCTATCTCTTGTAAAATGGATGTTGCAAAATGTACTTTAGAACTGAGGCCGCTAGGGACAGAGTAGCCTAACTGCAATTTTTATGACTTGAGTTATTAATATTTTCATAGTCTTAAAATGTTAATCTGCAAGAGCACAGTGACCGAAAATTGTTAACATAGTCAAATTTAAAAAAAAATGTGCACTTTTATTTTCCTCCTTATTGAAAATCATGGTTTTTGTTATTAGGCCACTCTGTCTCTAGTAGCCTCAATTAAGTATTATGAATAGCTGTATTTCTCCATACAATTCACTTTTATTTGTGAAGTGTTATTATAAGTAAGTAAGTAAGTAAGTTATTTTTGAACAATACTGGTCTCTATTATTGATTGTATTATATGTTTTAGAAAACTGGGAAGTTCCAATTGAAAAAATCACTGATTTATTCTACTTGGGCTCCGGTGCACAGGGAGTGGTATTTGGTGCACACTTGGATGGTGAAAAGGTGGCAGTGAAACAGCTCCGCACCAAAAATGAGACCAACATCAGACATCTTCTGAACCTGAACCATGAGAACATTGGTGGGTATTTAAAAATAAATAATAAAAAAACAAAAGGAGTTTTTTATTACCTGTTTATTTATTTTTTCTGATTTTTTTTCAATGCAGTTCGGTTCGTCGGTGTTTGCACAAGCCCACCACATTTCTGTATAATTATGGAGTACTGTCAATATGGGCCACTGTTTGACTTTCTTCATAGTAATACAGTGTTCATGCCGAAGCAACTCTTGAAGTGGGCTAAAGAGATTGCTCGTGGGATGGGCTATCTGCATGCACATAAGATCATACATCGAGACCTCAAGAGTCCCAAGTAAGTCTTTAATTACAGTTTGTAATTATCTCTAAAGTTGTAGGTGAGAAAATAATTTATGTTTTTTAATTTTAGCATTTTGATCTCTGATGATCTGGTTGTCAAAGTTAGTGATTTTGGCACGAGTCGGGAATGGAATGATGTAAGTGCTGTTATGAGCTTCACCGGAACCGTGGCTTGGATGGCGCCCGAGGTTATACGTCACGAACCTTGTTCCGAGCGCGTTGATGTATGGTCCTTTGGTGTGGTTATGTGGGAGTTGCTCACGGCAGAGGTTCCATACAAGAATTTGGAGACTCACGCCATTATGTGGGGTGTTGGTACCAATTCCATCTCGCTACCAATTCCTAGCAACTGCCCTAGCAGTCTACAGCAGTTGCTTAAACAATGCTGGAATCGTGTGCCACGCAATCGGTAAGTATTTTTGATAAGTTGAAGCGATTGTTATCAATAGCTGTGCGCGATTTTCTTCTCAAGCGCTGCGTTATTCTGAAACCATTGAAGAATTGTGATGTCCTCCTGATCTAGGCCCCCCTTCAAGATTATCGCTGCACATTTAGAAATGGCGGGAGGTGATCTACGAGGCATGGACACTGAGACGTTCAAGAATATTCAGACCGGCTGGCGAGCTGAAGTGCACAAATGCATGGAGCACCTGTACGCTAAGTAAGTTTGCAACATTATTGATTGGACTGAAGCTAGATATTAGTACCTCGTTATTTTATTATAGTATGACCGTTTTTGTTTAATTTTACAAAATTCGATTGCCTTTACTATTTTTTTATTGACTAAGATAAAGTAGGTTTTTAATTCGCTTCCTATATATGTTTTTTATGTTTGTTTGCATATAAGTTATTTATAAACCGTTTTTTTATTGTTTGTTGAAAAGTAAAAACATTCTACGATGCTCCCATTTTAAGGAAATCAGGGTGTGAACACAAACTAGAAAAATTGGGGGAAACTTTTAGAAATCTTATGAATACATAGTGAGTTTGTGACATTTTTCATTTATTACTTCAAATCTCTACTTTACTTTAATGTAAAGAAGGTTTCGGGTAGATTCATAAACTGATGCCGAGAGATAATGGTACTAACTTCTTAACAATTAACAGTGGCTTCTGTATGATCTTAAATTAATTTTATTAAATCAAATCGTAAGAAAGATATTTTACTTTTACAATAATATAACAAGTGATTAAATATTAGAAGACTTTTCTTCATATTGTGTTTTAGGCTTTCAATTACCAGTACAGGCGCTTTGCACTCTAGAGTAATGGGCTATTTGACTTTAATTTAAAATGTACTTTATATTATTTGGTAGATGTAAAGGAACCCCAGGAGGTTGTGTTTGAATTCTGATACTTATTTGCCGAAATAAATCAAATAAAAAATTCAACATTTAAAATGCTCGCCTAAACCCTAATTTTGCGAAAATAAAACTGCTAATTGGCTAGTGACGCCACGACCTTATATTGGCCATTGGTCTATGTCGATCATATGATCTACAATCTAGATGCATGTCTACCAAACAGTTAATTTAAACAGTGATTAAAGTCATGAGTTACGAATGTATTTATTCATTAATATAATAGTTTTAATAGAATAGAATAGTTTTAACATTAGGAAACACGGTGGTCCAGGATTCCCTCAAAGCACCGTAGAGGGCTGGTCGTGTGTTTAGTGGTTCTGGTCGGCTATACGATTTACTACGTCACACTTGCCCGACGTGGGCGTGAAATAGGCATTCACACAAACAGTTGAAATAAAAAGGCAACATGGTGGTGCATAGCACTGTTTATAAGCATGGGACGTCGTCATAAATCCGACCAATTACTATTCGTATACTTAAACTTAACACTGATAACAGTAATTGACGCCATATTTTTAGCTTTGTCAAATAGCCCATTGTACAAAAACAATTAAACTGGTACTGGTAGTATGCGCATGATCATGCCCACGAGGTTAAATATGGAGTATAATTTGGAACAGAAAGTCGTTCAGCCCAGAGAATACGGACACCGTGGCGCAGCGCCGTGAGGACCTGAAGCAAGCTCGCGACTTGCGTTACGTATACGAGCAGCAAGTGACCCGAGCCAATGAGCTGTACCTAGAGGTGTGTGCTATTCGTCTACAGCTCGAACAGCGCGAAAAGACTATCGCCGAGTAAGTACATTAGACATTTGCTTTGCCTGTCAAACTAGGGGGAGGAGGGTAGTTTGTAATAAATTTCATACATGGTTTAAGACATTTATTTATGCAATAATATACAGTACATATTTTTATATGCGAGTAGGTACGAATTCATAATTACAATTGGCTACGAGTACTCCTCTGCTCTATTTCAAACAACATTTCTAGTATTACTTTAACATACAATTGCTTTCGACGTAAGCTGTAAATTTTCTAATTAATAAATAAATAATTAAATATAAGATGGTGCAAATTGGTGCATATTTATATATGAAGTTTATCCCCGCACCGAAATTGTTAAGTAGAAGGTAATCAAGAGGTTTTTTCTAAGGGTAACTGTGAAGTCTTAAAGAATCTCACATTTGATGGATTTTCTCCATTTCTCTTCCCCATAGGAAGGAGAACGCTCTGAACGATTGTCGTTGTGGACACCGCGGTCCGAAATTATTCCAGCGCCAGACGTCCTCATCCTCTGACGGGATTAAAATGCCGGTGCCAGACCAGCGCCGGCGCAAGAAGAGGGTCGAGCCGACGCTCCCTGCCCAACTCATCGTTCAGTACGACGAAACACGCTCAGACACCACCACGAAGGTGGACGACCACGCCAATTGCCCTTGCAATGAGCAAAACGTACACTTCCAGAACAACAATAATGCAAATCTGATCCCAAAGGATACGATCGTTGAAATCGAAGACAATGGAAACGTGATGACTAGGGACACGCTATGCGACCGTCAGAACGACAACTACATCCCGGACGTTGCTCAAGTTTAACGGAATTCCGAAAGTGTTAGGGATAGTGTCGTTTTTGTCGTCCTGTACACTTTGTTCGCTATCTTCTTTTGGTTGTGGTTTAGTTATCTTTCCTTCCCATAAGACCTCATTGAGTACTTTGAAATGTATGGTGCAGCCTGATTTTAAATTTTGCTCCTTTAGGTCGGGGAATAGTTTTGCTAGTATTTTATACTCACGAAGAATTTCATTAATTAAAAACCTTTTTTCTTCAAAACAAATATCAGTTATCGTCAGCTTTTTAAAAGTACACTTCAAGTCAAGAATTAAAAATAGTTCTTGTTATTTTTTTTATTTACGTTGAGTTTTTGTTTTCGGAACTAAATTGCGTTTAGTATAAACATGGTAGTCGATTAATAATGGTCTGAATAGTAGTCTATTATTTCGTAGTAGTACTTTTAGTATTTCGAGGGTTCTTTGAAAACTCCTGTCTCAAGTGGGGTAAGTAATATAGCTCTTAAATAAGATTTTTTAATCTATTTATATGCTTTCTAATGCTGTACATTTCGCCTTTTCAATGTAGTGACACAGATCTTGTCTAGATGTAATAACAAATTAAAGTATTTATTTGTACAATAACATTTCCCTAAGAGGCTCAACAAAAAATTCTACATCTCAGAAATATAAATGAGTAAAAAAACGAACGCAAAGTACACCAGTTACTCGGTCAATCTCTTGTTCTAAATATTCTCTGTAGTTTACTAGTAGTACACATTTAAATAAAACACGTTTTAAACGCGAAATATATTCGTTAACTTATTTTTAATTTATTTAAACCATGTCTAGATGGTATTTCCGTCACGCCCGGAACGGGGGCTGCAAACCATGCAAAACGTCTGAGTTAAAATAAATTGTAAATTTTATTTAAATACACAAAGTTCAATAACTAAATGAATAAATTTATTAATTAGGGCTTTACAAAACATTAATAGTCGGCCTCATACGTGGCTTAAAATTAAAATAAAACAACTTCAACTAGTAAAAACATTGTTTTTTAGCTATACCATGACTTAATCTTAAATATAATCAATGTATACTTATACATGGTCAAATAAAGAGTTCATTGCTCACGTCTTCGTTTACATTAGCCGTAGATATTCTAGTATTTAGATACTAGGATACATAATTATAAACCTTTTGTCACCTGTCTTTTCACTTCTTAGCTATTTAGTAAATTGCACGTTCACAGATCTGGCATAAATGTTGACGGAGGTGTATTGTAGTATAATGTAAAATGTTTTGCACTTTAAACACAGCACATCTACATATTAATAGTTTAACAGTAATCACTTATAAATTTTGTGTACCCCGATTCTCGGAGATCTGGTTAGGAGGATGGTTTGAGGTCGTTAGTCCTGGTGCTGAGATGTCCATGCTGCCTGGACGTCCACAATAAGCCTGGTATTAACATCGACAGGTGCAGGGTGCAGGTTAACTAAGGAGGGGAGAACCGGGCCAGGGGAGAAACCCAGCATCCAAATGTCCCCTTTTTAAAATTTTTGGATGCTTTCCCATCAGATATGCTATGTTATCATGGCATGGATGCGTTTGATTTCCACCAATTGTATTCATTGGTGCACACAAATTTTTTTCCTCGCTGTTTAGATCGATACTTTAATCGAGACACAAATCTTTCTCGCAAAGCTACTTAGCGTACCTAGTATTGGTGGAAACGGTCACATATTTTGCGTAGATTCCACATCTCTTGCGGATTGGCACCCTAAATATTATATTTAAAACATCCTATAGGTAGTTGCAATTTGTCGGATAGAGTGCACTGCACATTGAATAAGTAAATAAGAGTATTTTAATTATTCGAAAATGTTGGCTTAAAAATAGGGTAGGTACGTTTATCGACTGTACTCGTAAATGTAAACTAAAGTTTAAACAAACCTTGTTCGAAAATTAAATTTGAATATGATATAAAAAGACTTTAACATTCTCCACATGTTATTGCACACGATGGCATTATAGAAATTGAAAATCTATTTAAATTTACGACACGGGCAGGCCTTGAACCGGCATACCCTTCCGTATTGCTTCTCTAACCAATAAGCTAAAGTGGGCCACACGTCGTCGAATTTCTTTAAACTTCAATTTGATTCCATCATCAGAGGAGCATGTATTGAGGATTTTATGATGTGAATGCCGGTTCGAGTCTTGCTCGTGTCGTTATTATTTTTAATCTGAATCGATTTTTAACTTAGGATATAAAACACGTGCTTTTATATTGCCTATTTAGAAATAATTCACTCATAATGTGTTTTCATTATTCTCAATGTTTGTGTGTAGAAGCAATAGATAATTAGTGTGGAGATATATTTAGGGATTAGATTAAGGTTTAGTGTGTACTGGATTAGGGCGTGTTATAAGTGTTGAAACATACTTAAATAACGCGCTGATAATTTTTTGTCTAGTCATTCTTGTCTAAGTCATAATAGATCTCATATTTTGCATTTATTTAAGTTAACGTATGGCGTTTTTTTTATTCTTCGGCCTATCTGTGGCTTCTAATTACGAAATAACAAAATTAGAGAAGTGAATTTATAGTAGTTTAAATAATTCAGTTAGTATGCAATCAAAGGACTTTTTTTACAAACATGTCCGAAATTTGTTAATTGGACGCATTTGGACTACCCACATATTTTGGAGGTCACCTCTGCGCTGTGTTAATCTGAAGCGCAGAACAATGCGCTTCGGATTAAAAGTGACAACTATTTTTCTATCGAAATTATTTTTTTATCAGATTACCAGACTTGTATTGGGCACTATTTTTATATAATGAAATCGACTTAAACCGTCATATTTGTAATATTGGAAATTAAGTAACAAGCCTAATTTTGTTGCGTGTCTTTTCTTTAAACAATTCGTTCAGACTTTTATGCCCTTCTTGCCCTTATTGTAACGGGCATACAAAGTTTTTCAAAGACTTCGTAGACATTTTAAACGATGAATATAGAAAGTCCGTTTAATTGCTGATTCGCTGTCGATTTGAATCCATGCACAAGTCCAAAACAGCGTTAGTGTAAGTAATTTTTTGAAGACTTTTACTGTTTCTATGAATTTACTCGATTAAAACTAAATATTGTTTACAATTTTCTGCTTGTAAAAGAATCTAGTCGAACTTCGCCTGCATTTCTTATTTAAATATCGAAGAATATTACTTATATATAACGGAAATACTATCTTATGTATTGTAGTTATTATTGTACTATAATTAATGTTATTATATTTTTCGTATTAATATTAGTACTTAACAAAAATTATATATTTATTTTGGAGAATATTACTATTGTCATTCCGTTTCTATTTGAGCGACTTAAAGATAATTATTGGCCTATTTTTAAATACTATAGTTAATTTTCTATAATATGAAATTGTTTATTTACATAGTATTATACTTCTTACTGTTTGAATTTATGTAGTGATGAATAGCTATATAAGTAGTGTAGACTAAATATTGTTCTCTCTGTTTTTGTCGATGATTCATGTAGAGAATTAAATAAATAAATAAAATCATTGCTAGTTTTAATTGTAGAAGTCCCTATCATTTCATATCTTACAAATATATAACCCGTACGTAGATGGTATTTTTTATTGCAAAGTAGTTCAAGCGTAGAAACAGTAGTGTTTTAAACCTATTAGAGAAATATGTAGATCTCAAACAAAAGGCGGATAATTTAAAAACTTTTATATTTTTTACACATGATGGAACTATATAAATTAAATATCGATTAATTTTAAATTCATTCTATATTTTTTATTTATAGTCCATTTTTAATTTTCAAGGCAGGTATCTATAAAAGTAAAACACACGTTTTCAGTGTAGCTTTATTCACAATATACCACTCATAACACAACTTTCTTTTCGCTGTAATCACGTATCGAACCTGGCACCTCGTATTCAAATCGCTAACCACTAGGCCACCGAGGTAGTTTATATTTCTCCATACTTTTTATTTCTCGTTAAGAATTGCGCGTTGTCTTTTATACATTGTTATATTGATTGCTGTACTGTACTAGATTTGTACCACAGTTTATATTAAATTGGTGGTAGGAATATCGAAATTCTATGCTGGTCACGAACCACCGTCCACGGATGAAAGCGGTGAAGTTTAATCACGTTTTGGTTTTAGTATGTCTTTCTGAATATCCAAAGCCTAAATGGGTCGGCCGCGCATCTTGCTTATAAGCTTTGGTATTTCACCTACCATCGAGTTAACCCTGTGCTTGTATGTCCTCCTTCATACTGTCTGTACTTTACGCGAGTAGTACACATTACAATATATTAATAAGTTCACCTAATACCTATATATCGCATTTTAAACCGTTAAAGTGTCTTATTTAAATGTCCTCCACTATCATTTAAAAAAAACAGTGGAAATTGCGCATTATTTATGAGAAAACTAATGCCGAAGGTACACTTAGTAGTGCGCACACAAGTAAATTCAGAATTACTTGTGTGTGTAAATGTGTGCATACCTCAAAGTACAGTGTAAACTCCATGTAACGTCACTCTATTTAACGACAAACTCTCTTAAGCGTCGAAATTAATTGGCTTTGGTTGGTTTAGCTTGTTTTTCATACAATGTTTCTTCTCTCCATTTAACGACAACTCTCTATAACGCCATAAAATGCACAGTCCCTTCAGTGTCGCTATATAGAGTTTACACTGTAATTAGATAAATTCATTATACATTTTCCTAAGAATCGGCTAATTTTAGTTGCCTCCGGTGCATTCGTCTTCAGTCACCAGCAGGTGTATGGTCATTTATCAATGGCAATTCATAATGTACCACATTTTGTAAAGTACAGTAAATATCTAGATTGTATAATCTATATATAAATATGATTTTTTTTTTAAATTTCTTAACGATTTCATGTGAATAATATTAAAGATTTCACATGTTAATAAGCTTTGTAGTTTTATCCTGAATAATTTTCTTAAGCTGCAAAGCGTAAGACATTCAACCTTACTACGCTAATGTTAGGGTTGAATTTGCATTGCACGAGAGGTGCATGTATCAATTGGTTAAAAAACGATGACGTGCAGGACTCTAGTTAAATTGGTTAGGTTAGGTTAACGCCGAGGATGCCGGTTCAAATTCTACTTGAGTCGTGTTTTTGTTTTTATTTATTTTCGATTTTATAATTCATATAATCCAAGCTTCAAGAATTTTAATAAACCTCACTAGGTACTAATATAATTATTTCGATACAGAATCGATACTAGACACAGGTCTAGTCACTTCTTTTTAATTATATCTCTCGTCTGTAGTTTTTGCAGGTGGATATTTATTTGGTTTCATTATAAGTAAATTTATTTTAACCACTGGCCTACGTTACGGACGCTTCCAGTCGTGGTCACGGGGGATCTACTTAAATTAGTGAACTACCAAATTGTAGTTGTATCGCTTCGCCTTCTACATACAATTAAAAAGGCAAGCAATACAATTATTGTAGGATATAATTTTTTGATACCTGGTAAGTTTTAAAATTCATCGCTTCAGTCGGTGGATGGTGAAATACCCAGCTATATTACATCACAACAAGATGTGCTGTCTACCTATTTTAGCTTTGGATTAAATTTAAAATAATTAGACGGTTTAAAACGTGAAATGTATACGTTAACTTGGTACCAGTAGACCAACGAGCCCAAAATATGATTTCGATCAACAAGTAAACGAAGGTAATTTATAAAACTACACTAGTGTGATACATGGCGCTAGTTAACGCAGCATTTCAAGCGAGAGAAACATTTCCTTTGTTTACATTCTTATACTGCAAAAAAGTCGCATAGTCTTCACTGACCACAGCAATGGAAATAAGGAATTAACACCAAGTCTGAAAAGTCCTAGGGCCCCAATATATATTTGAGGCTTTTATATCGTTTTAAAAAGAAAAGAATTCTCAAAATGAAATATTTGTATGTATCCTTTTGCTACATCGGTATTTGCCTTGAGACTGAATTTTTCTTCTTGAATTTGTCTTCAACGAGTCCAGTTCTTTTGGGCATAAAACTTGCCAAACCAACGAAAAACATTTGGCGTGGCGTCCGGCGAAAACAGCATGCAATTTCTGGCCGGGTAAGCATATGTTAGAACAGATATTAGCGAAATATTCGCATACGTTATGCGTCGCGGGCGTGTTACATTTTTTGGTATTATTTATAGAAAGTGAACGGGCGTTCGTTAGTCCGCGCAGTGCGGCGCGCGCGGCTCTACAAGAGCGATGGAGCCCCCGGCCTTCCCCAGATCTGGAGTCCACACCACCCGGGCTGCCCCAGGGAGTGAAGCGAACATCCTCCTCCCCTTGCCCACTGGAACGCCACCCTTCACATACGAATGGTAAGTATTAACAATTGTCTGACTTAAAACTCGCTTCTACGAGTGATCGCCTTTATTGCGAATGTCATAAAGTTGAAAATGGCGCTACCGCCGCGCCGGCTCGCGTTGTTTGTTTTTAGTGTGTATAAATAACAAGTAGGAAGACGTTTGGAGTCACTTGACACTGTACGATTAACAATCGAATGTATTAGGGTTTAAATACCCTACATTTGCTCCGTTAATTGAAAATTGAAAGCATTACGGGAAGCGGCGATCCGCGTGTGCAATTGTGTTAAAAAAATCCGTGGAAACTACGTTTAGTCTCGCCCAAATTTTCAGCGTCAAATTAAAAAATTGCTATATTCACTTGATCAAATGATGTTCAAGCTTCTACGACTACACAAATATATAGACATAGTTTATAGTACCACAATTTAATTTCTACATGTTATACAAAGGCACCTGTTGATAGCACATCGTTTCCAGACAACTACAGACATATTATCAGCATTAATATAGCTTTGTCGTGGAGTTCTTATTAGTATTGATATTGTCTTGATACTTAGAACCGCCTTCTTTATCGTTCAAAAAGACTTAAGTGTTTACAGATGTTTCTTCAAACGTATTTGACAAGTTTTCTTTCTGGAAACATTTGCTTTATAATGAGTTTTTAATAACTTCTTTTCATTCCCAATATTCAACACTTCAGTATCAAAATCGCGTGTCTTATAAGTATTTCACTGTATGAATTAAGATTTTTGTCGACCTAATACTCTACAGACGAAGCGGATCTTCTCTATTAGCTAATTCTAAATGATGTCAGTCACGGTTTACCTTTAACTAACCAAAAATAAATATGAGCTTATAATTCCCATACGATTACTTTGCGCAGCGACATCTCGTGAGGATCGATGAGATTTTATCGGTGCGAGCTTATCCGATCGAATCGGCCTATGTAGCTCCCTCTATAATGATATAGTGAAGAGAGTATATAGAATAAAAATAAATTATGTAATATCGTTTTTAATTATAAAAAGTAAATATTATTATACCTTCGAACGTTCGATCGATCATTTTAGATGGAGACATCTTTTTCTTTGTATCCCATTTTTTGTATTTATGTAATGATTTCTGAGCGCATATAATTTGGCTTAACAAATTGAGCCCTTTGCGCAAATAAAATTGGACAGTAAACAAAATAAACGCGGCGCTGGCGTCGCTACTGTAAAAATATCTCGCTAACGTTCGGTTAGTCCGCGGCTGACTATCGCGTACTCTATCCGAAACGATATGCGCTCCCGCCATGGGCAGCAATTGTTGTAAGGGTGACGCTTCGGGGAAGCCTGTTGTGCGGTCGACCTCATCAATTTACAAAAGGTACCTGTGATTACGTGTTGGTTGGTGAAGTGAGACCTCAGTGTTAACATAGATTATATTCGGCGCGCGCGTCATTGCGTTTGGCGAAGACACTTTCATGATTAATTTCTCAATCGGTGATATATATTAAAAATAGATATATCCTAGCTGATGTAGGGGCGAAGTGTCTTTGACTGCATTCAGCTACAAGTGGGCGTGTTATCTAAAAGGTCCAAAATACTAAATCTACTCACAACACAAATTCTTTGAAAACTTGCACATGATGGCACTATATAGATTAAAAATCGAAGATATTCGTCTTTATTTTATTTTTATACGCAATTGCTAAGGTAATTACATTACGCGAGAGGTGCGTGTATCAATAAGTTGAAAAAAATCGACGTAGTGGTGTGGGAATCGCTAGCTCAATTGGTTAGAGCAATGCCACAGAACGCTGGCGATGCCGGTTCTAGCTCTGCTCGAGTTGAAAAATTTTTCAAATTGTTTTTGATTTTTAATCCACACAAACTCTGCTTTGTTGATGTCAAAAGGGCGAAATAATTACTATTTAACAAAAACAACATTAACGTTACTCAAAAGTGAAAATAATTAAAATCTATCTATATAATAACTTGGTTTAATTAAACTTGGAAAATTAAAATTCTGGCAACCCTGTAATTTACCATGTTCAGCGCTTGGCATTTTCAAATAAGTATATTGTTACCGCGAATTCACAGAATGTTATAATGCATGTCCACCTTTAATAACATGTTAAATTCAATAAATAAAGGATCTATTTTTGGCCCTTCGTTAATTAATTGCAAAATGGAAATGTAAAACCCGAACATGTTATGTTCTGCATGACATCCGGCCATTGTTTTTCAGATAATGGCGTGAAATACTCGCCGAGTGAATATTTGCTAACAATTCTTCAATATAATTTCATAAATGCGAAAAATTGTTTTGTCTACGTCTACTAGATTCTTTAGGTTTTTACGCAAGGAGGTTAATAATCGAGCTTAACGATCTTATGCTGTATAAGAAAGTGTTTTAAGCAACCCTTAAATAAAGGAAAGGAGTGGCCGCGAGTTTCTTGCCAGTTCTTCTCGTTCGCTCTTCCCTTGATTTGAGAACTGGTAAGAAATGTAAATTTAAAGTCTTTTTTAACTGGTGTGACGTTCATAAGTGTACCTAGTTACCTACGTGAATAAATGATTTTTTACTCTGACTAAATAGGAAATATTCAGTTCAAGATGTGAAATATTAAAACGGAGGTTAGGGAGATTTTTCAATACAATTTAAGTTTTGTTCTTAATTAAATTTTATATATTTCGTCAGGATACAAGTGCCACTACCCGATCGTTGTGTGAAACGAACTTTTTCACTTTTTTTCTATCGGAACACAAATTATACTGCTATAATAATCCTAAGTAAGTCTTGTAATGCCATTTATTATCTGCAGTTTACGCGAGTAGTACACATTTAAATAAAACACTTTAACGGTTTAAAACGCGTTATATTAGTTAAACTTATTTAAAAATCATTTTTAAATAATTTTAACTAATATAACGCGTCTTAAACCGTTAAAGTGTTTTATTTAAATAAGACTTTTACGGTTAAAAACGCAAAATGTATAACCTTTTTTCAATTTATTTTAACTATGGCCCGACGTTTCGAAGCCGCAACCGTCGTCACGAAGGGGCTGAAGATCGAGGGAGTTCCTAACGTCCTAGTTGATATTAAGTTGGCAATAAATCATAGCGTCCTCTCGTTCTATGTCGTTTTAAACCGTTATAATATTAGTAGATATGTTACTCTTGCTAGCAGGATTGCATGTCACTGAAAGCTTTACGTAAGCATTCTTCTATCTATTTAGTTAACGACTACTATCCAACCATTCCACCCTTGACCCTTCACGGAGAAGAGATCTGTAAATTTATTTCATTATAAAGAAAATTACAAAGTGTTTATATAAATATACTTTAAATAGAAAACAATCCTTATATTTAAACACTGTCTGTAGTTAACACGAATAGTACACATTTAAATGAAACAATTTAACGGTTTAAAACGCGATATATTTTTGTTAAACTTGTTTGAAAAATTTTTTTAACCCCGGCCCGACGTTTCGGACTGCTGTCTGCACGGCTGCATTTTTTAAAAGTACATCAACATTTAATTTCTTATATTTCCCTTTTGGTTTATTGTTAACCTGTGGTGAATCACTGTGGTGAAACAAAGTCGCTTTATCAGTAAATACGTGCGCTTAGACCTTTTTAACGTGATTCAAGAGGAACGTTTTTATATACAACTTTCACAGATTTTCTGTAGTGTATTTAGTATAACCATTGCACCCGAGCGAAGCCGGGGCGGGCCACTAGCTTAAAAATAAAATATAGACTTTTGTTTACCACTGCGTGCTAAAATAACCGTTTCATACATCGTAAATACGAATAGGCGATCGTTAATTAAAATAAAACCTAGCTGCGATAAATACCTGCTAATGTTACATGTCATAAATTAGAGTAGAGAAGTTTTTTTATAGTTTTCACGGTCTCGTGTTTACCCTGACATGTCGCAAATGTAGGGCGATGAAACGGTTTTAATCATTTCTCCTCTCTACTGTTTACTATTTGAAGTTTATCGAGGTGTTTATCTATTTTTAAGTAAATGGGGATATTTGTTTTAAATACATCTGGTATTTAAACAACCTTAATAATAGACAAAGTGAAAACTAAGTGTGAAAAGTACTATGTTATCATAATCACTATCTCTGTTCAAAGCTTAAATAAAACACATGCGAATTTTTACTTATTTTGTGTACAATTTATTTTAACTATGGCGAGACGTTTCGGATGCATTGCAGAAGCTGTAGTCACGGGGAGACTAAACACACTAACTGATACATTTCGTGTTTTAAACCGTTAAACTTGTTTTATTTACATGCGTACTTTTCGTGTAAGTTACAGACAACATCGCTTAAAGATGCTTGGAATTATCTAGCCTTGAAAAATGTTTTAGGCAACCAAAGTCTTTGAAAATTAGTTCCTATTCTTTGACATAATATTAGTATAGATAGATTCCTTCTCCATATTCATATTTCATAGCTGTACTAAGTGTGACATGGTTAACGCGAACTATTTTAAATTACATATTTCAACCAGTTAAAAGTGTTGTGTCTAAACAAATCTTACTTCTGAACTTGTTTAAACCCAGACAATGTCATTTTCAACTTGTATGCTTGGGGAATCTGTTTTCGTAGATATCCACGAACCTTGGCTATCATCCAATTGATTTGAGAAGTTTGCGCAAATGGCTCCTGATGCCAATTGTTACTTTGTGTTGACCATACCTTCATTCATGTGACGTGGTATTCCAGACATAACAGTTCCTACTACCTACTACTACTAATGATATAAAATCGATAGACAATTCCTGTTTCCTTATTCTTCTATGATTTGATAAGCACTATTAATAATGGCCGGTCTGTATTCAAAATGGTCGACTCAAATGGAAAAAGTGATTAAAACAACATGTTTTATCCCATAATTAAAAATATATCTTGGGCAAAGTAATAAACTAGGTGTACGGTGGTATTCGATAAATATATACGATAAATGCTATAAGCAACACAAAAAGATTCAATTCGAACCAGTAACTACTGG